TATGGCGCTACGCTATCGCATTGCATCCTTACACCTTTTCTTCCCTACAAAAAGAGAGCAGCAATGCCGCACGACTATCGATCATACTTTTCTTAGCACTATATTCGGAGAGAAGTTACTCCAGAGGAACATGGATTCAAGGTGGACGAAGGACATCAACGTAGATAACAAGAGAGCGGACCATCACAGGGAGCTCGTTTACCCGAGAAGAAGTATGGACATACAGCCTTAGCCGCTTCATATTTGGTCAAAGTATCCTAAGAATTTCTTTAGCATTAGAAGAAAGCTGAAATTCTCGGTCTCATTGAGATTCCGTGCTGAAAAGCATATTTCGTTCATAACTCATAGCTGTTGTGACAACTGCTTTCGTCCAGCTATTAACTTGTGACCATCCAGGTGCTTGAGCGGGCGCAATCCACCACGGGGGAGGGGGGGGGCTTCTTAGGTTGCTGAGGGTGAAACCTCGGCTTTGAGGGCTCATCGAAGAAGAGATCACCAGAGGTGTTGCTGAAAAAAGCCTCCGTCTAATAGAGGTGATCCGACCAAATTATTTCTCCGCAAGTTTTCTCGCTAACATCGGGAGCCTGGTTTTACGCTTTCGCAAACACTTTCAGGGAAAATACCTCTTCACACGATTATTATGCAACACTCGGTTCTTACAGAGTCCTGTGGCGAAAACCGCGGCCCACTCATGGACGACAACACTCGCTATAAGATCCTATATTATCACGAAGGAACTCGAAATGTACTTGCTCTGGGAGAATCGCCAGGCTTCCAAACTGGCTTCCTTCCACCCGCGAAAAATTTGTTCAAACTGGTAAGTACGAAGAGAATCCCTCGCTCAAAAATTCAGTTCTGAGTAGTAGTCGGTGGAGTGACACATCTTCTAAGAGCCGTGAAGAAACTAAGGCAAAAAGAAAGAGCGTAGAGTCGTAAGTTCAGTGGGCTGCTCCTGCCCTATCGCTACTCTATGATCAAAATGTACCACGTTTCATCGCACCAGATCTCAGACAAAGCCTGTAGCGCCAGTAGTAATAGGTATAGACTCAATCCGCGCCACGTCTACTTACAGACCACACCGAGAAGCCTTCTTGGTGCGGCATTTCTATTTCAGCGCCAATACCGAATTGAGTCTGATCCACTTCAGCACCAACAGGAGACGTCAAAACTGTCGATCAAACAGCCAATTCACGCTATTACTTGTGGTAAACGATTACTCTCCTAACTTTTAGAGATGGAACTGCAATCTTGAAGCAAAGGCAAGGGAACTGTCAAACAACTGTGCTCCTTCCGCCGAACAGTTGAAAGAAGATCTTGGAAAGAACGTATTTAGGTAAGCAAATAAGCCTGATTCTCTTTGCACAAACTCCATGAGGCGACCTGGCCGTTTTCAGCGGCTTTGTACCAGAAGTAGATAGCCCCATACCAATCAAGAAGAGAGAGCGAAAGTATGACTTCATAAGTAAATCAATCGATGAGTGGCTCCTGCCTACGGAGAATTATGCCATAGAGGGTGATGTTCATTACAATGAGAGTTTGTACAGTAAAAGCAATCTGTACACTTTCGCCAATGTAAGTTAATTATTTGTTCCCATTGATTCTGACGACATGAACAGAAACAGTCGATTTTAGATGGCCTATGATAAGATTTACGAAGTCGGCTGCAATTATGAAGAGTGCCCCAGCGGTGGTACGATCGCAGCTTCGCTTGTTTGCATTTACAACACAAAGTAAGATCCCGTATGCATAATTTCTTGGAAATGTTGTTGATCAATCATATATCCCATTACAGGGTTCCTGACTACGCACCTCTGTACGAAGTGGGAGACAAGAACCCAGATTTTGCGGGCTGTAACAAGGATGATAACGTCTGTCAACATCTAAAACTACCAAATGCCACCTGCGATGATCTCCTCTGCGTATTACCCAACGTGGTTTCGACCTTCCTTTGATTCCTTGTTTGCTCTGTAGAGACTACGAAATAAATCTGGCAACATTCCGTCCGTAAATGGTCTTACCTGTCCGAAGATTCTCACTGTTTTGTTGAAACAGAGGATTCAACAAAACAATGAGAATCTTCTGGACAAGTAGTTCATTCGAGTAAAATTATGAACATTAAACTTTCCAATAAACAGACAGGGTACAGCATCGTGATGTGTGAAGTGGTGGTGTCAGTAAGACCCCCCCACCTTGAAAGAGTTGGTACGACCCCCATTTCCCGATTTACCAACACCTACCTACCACTTTCCTACATCTTCCCGACTAGTTTTTTTTCCGGCATTTTCCGAAAATTTACTACTTTCTCCCAAAAATCTTCTGTCGAGCGGGGGAAGGTATTTCGTCACAATCGGAACAACAGCAAATTTTTCTCAAAGGCACATATGGCCCCCCCCTCTCCCAACAACGACCAAATACCTCCCTCCCCAGCGGTCAATTACGACCCTTCCTCCATGTGTTCCGCACAACCATGCTGTACCCTGTAAACAGAGCAGCAGGCTTCCACGAAATCAAGATAACACATCAAACGTTGAGTTATGAAGGGAATAAAAGTGAAAAAGGGCAAAGTGGTCACATTTTCCGAGACGAATCTCGTACCATTTTATCATTCTGGAAAGGCTCGAGTGGGTGGAGCCGACTGGGACATAAACTCCGGACCACTCCCTTGTTGAGTGTTCCCCTTTCAACTACACTTCTTCGCCTCTGTGCAGATAATGAGGTAGTCAGTTCATGGGCATGCTTTCCATCAAAGAGGCATACTGTGCAGTCGCTTCCGATTCGGTACTGCAATCGCTCCATTCAACACTGGTTCATTTTCTAAAGATTCGAGGCTGAAAAGGTGAAAATAACCAAGACAGTACACTATAGTCATCACGCGGTCCATTTCGTTGGAAAGTACAGCTTGTGAGCAGCATGACAGCTTATGACATGAGCAGCCTGACTGGTCATATCATAAGTGTCATAAGGCTGTTAGCTGTTATACTACGGCGTGCTTTATGTGATAAAGCAGTGCGAAGTGAAGTGGGATAAACTGCAGTGAATCACATTGATAACGATTTCTATTTATGTAAAATCATGGAAAACTTAGAGAAAATAATAAATGTAACAATGGGGGCTATCAAGAACTGCAACATCATTTGGATAAAAACACAACAAAGATCGTATTCAACTCTTTTTTTCAAGTTCACTCAACTTTTTTGACTAGAGAGGTTTTTGATTTTTTCCGTCCCACGCGCCCTCATCAGCCCTTTTCAGCTGTCTCTGTCACTCATCATTAACATCCCTGTCACACCCCATATATCACTTGTTGGAACCAAGTTCCTACTGTTATTGTGACGGCGCTATGAATCAGGCAACGCCCGGATTCTAATTACCCTTAATAGATATCAACAGTTTCTAATACCTCCTGCCATCCATCAATGATGTCCCTGTCCCACAGCATCCTACTAATATAGTCGGCTATGTCCTGTGTGTGTGTGTGTGTGTGCGTGTGTGTCTGTCTGTTCTGTCTGTCTGTCACGAAATTCATACCACCTGAAGAAGAACTTGGAGAGGTCGGGTCATGGTGGAATTGGGTAGAGCATGGGACAAAACCTAAATAGCACCCATGACCCATGGTAAGCCCCGCCCACAGGCGGGGCGTGCGTCAAAAGTTAGCGATGTCACTGAAAAAAGTCATAACTCGGTTCCAGAGCAGTCCCGAGATGAGGAAACAGTGCAGTAAAGTTAACAAAGGCCTGACTGACCAAACAGAGGAGTCGCACTAAAAATGGGTGGGCGTACCGATGGGCTTCCCGTGACACTGAAAAATCACCACAACTTGACTACGAAGCAGCTCGGAGACTGCAAAAAATGAAATTTGGTTAGCACTGGGTCGACACACCAAATGGAGGAGAGACACCCGAAATGGGCGGGGCGTACTTGAGATGGGCGGCGCTTCCCATAAAGGTCGGTAACTCGGTCCCCCAAAATGTTTAGAGAGCGCAGAAAATCCATGACGAAGAAGAATATCTTGGAAAAATCCAACATGTCTGCGGCGTGCCGAGGCCCGCCCACAGTGGGCGGGGCGTGCATTTGAGCACGAGGAACAGTATAAAAAGTGGTAGTTTGGTCCTAAATCACTGCAAATGGTGCCAAAAAGTGGATTGTTATCCACAAGCGATCATCAATTATCAATTGATTAAGAATGTGCGAGGCACTCCCGTTGTGGGCGGAGCCCGCACCAAGGTGGGCGGAGCCAAATTGGAAAAAATTCGCAAAATGGTTCCTGAGAAGCGCGAGGCATACGTTGTGGGCGGAGCGTGCGTTGAGGAGAGGGGGCCAGTGTTAGAAATTCCTCAAGCGGTTCCAGAGCACTCCAGGCACTCCAGACCTCCTCTGTGATACAGCCCGGCCTTGCGGGGCGTGGCTCCGTCGCGCCTACTGCATTCGTAGGTCAAATGCTGGACAAATACCCGGCTTTCCTCTCATCTGTCCACTTGATCAACGCTCCTTTCCACCATTTCATGCACCGTAATAGTGTTGAAAATAGCAGGTATGGTGCTATTGGTGAAATAATGTTGATCATCCGTTCAGATGAAAGAAAAGCCGAATACTAGGCGGGTATTGAAATGTGTGGAAAAAGATAAGCGCGGTGGAGCCGCGCCCGCCCTGCTGTGTGGAAAAAGATCAGCGCATCAGTGATCAGGAGCAGGCTCTCGCCCATCACCTTCATGTACACCAAAATATGAAGTCATCTCCAATCGCAGCCTGACTAGAAAACCCTATGGAATTCACGTCACCTCCAAACAGCTGCGAAACTTCTTGAATGGAGTCACCAGCCCTCTGTTCCTCCTCATCGAATCGAATCGAGCCGTCGAGCGAGGGGGGGAGGAGGGGGGGGAGGTAATAGCACATGAAACAGGAAAAGGACAGTACGGCCCCCATCCCCCTCCCCCTTCTACCAATTCTCAAATCCCCAACTTCCTGCCACTTTTTCCAAAATTTCCCGAAAACTTTCCTGCTTTTCTCCGAGACTTTTGCTGCGAGCGGGAGGGGGAGAAGGAGGGAAGGGAGGGGGGGGGTATACAGTGCGTAACAAAAGTATGTGGACACCTCAAATTTTTGTCCTGCAAAATTGCCTTTGAATTTTGCGATATGAGACCTTTATTGTTGAATTCCTCATAAGCGAAAACATAGGAATACACTAATTCTAAACACTTTGTGGACTACTGAACAATTATTTATTGTTTGAAGTTTATTCATAACAAGAAGTATTGTGGACCACTCAAAAAAAACATGAGTAGTATATAATAGTAGTGGTTCTTCCTCCAGTGTTCACTATTACTTCGAACATTCTGTCTGGCATGCTGTGGACAAGATTTGTCATGGTGTCTTCGTCGATTTCCTCCCATGCAGCAACTATTTGCCTCCCTTCAAGTCTCGCACGCTGTTGTACTGCCCACTGTTCATGTAGATTCGTCGAACCATGTTCCCCCACAGGATTTCGGTTGGGTTGCAGTCAGGAGAACACGCCGGCCAATCAATCACTTTGATACCATTGCGTTGGAGCCATTTTCTAGTAGAATTTGAAACATGCACGGCGGCGTTGTCCTGCTGCATCACATGTGTCCTGCGTCGTGGCCCGCTCAGAAAAGGCAAGAGGTTAGACTCAAGCACTCCTTGGTATTCCTCACTGTTCATACAGCACGATGGGAAGGCAAGCTCCAACTTTCCTCTGCTTCCAAAACCACCCCGTACCATCAAAGAGCGCCTCCGAAATTTCGTCTCGAGAACACCAACGGATCGCTACAAAGGCCTTTCCAGTGATGCTGATATCCATCTGGACCGTCGAGATTGACTTTTTTATCAGTGAAGATAACCTAAGAAAGAAATGCGCATAAGATGTTGCCTTTCTGATTTTACAAATATCTCAAGAAACTGCACCTTGTCCCACGACGTCGCCATTTTTGCAAAGTTCCCTCTTGCCAGCTGACGTCGGGCAGTCAGACAGGGAGCTTTCTTCGTGGTCTCTCGAGTGATGTGCGTCATTTTTGAGACCGGTAGATTCATCGCGGCATGGATCTGTGCCACAGAAAGCGGGGAGTTTGAGGCCATTCTTCTGATGTCTTTTGCGGACAAAGATCGTGGGTGCCTCGAAACAGGTACTGAGTGGTAGCCATCAGGATTCTGGAGGTATATACCAACGCACGTCGCCGAAAGTCCAAGCTATCTTGCAATTTCTCTATTCGAGTGTCCTGCAGCACTGAAAGCTCGAATCCGAGCTTGTTCGTCTTCGTAGGGAGGACTACCACGACGAGGTATGAGTACAGGTTAATGGGGACTAGAGACCATAAAAATGGATTGCAGATCTGGAGCCAAACTTTGGACTTCCTCAGGTGTCCACATACTTTTGTTATTAAGAAACTTTTTCAAAACAATAAATAATTGTACAGTAGTTCACAAAGTGCTCAGAAGTAGTGTATTCCTATGTTTTCGCTTATGAGGAATTCAACAATAAAGGTCTCATATCGCAAAATTCAAAGGCAATTTTGCAGGACAAAAATTTGAGGTGTCCACATACTTTTGTTACGCACTGTATAGTGACAGTAACAGTAACATGTACGAAAATCACGAAGGGTCAACCACCACTACCACCACTCCTAGAAGGCCAGAAAGTAAATACGACCCCTCCCTCCCAACAATGAGCAAGTACGACCCCCCCCTCCCCCTTTTACAACGTCCGTGAAGCGAGAAAAATCAACTATCAAAATAAATTTTTCTCAGCCCAAATACGACCCCCCTCCCCTGTTGGGGATTCCCCAACAACGATGTGCCCTGGAAATGGAGGAGGGCGGGGAGGGGTATATACATAGTGCACATGGAAACAGGAAAAATTACGAAGAGTCAACAACAAAGAAACCAACCCAGCAAATTTACCCAAAGCACATACGACCCCTCTCCAACAACGACCAAATACGACCCCCCCCTCCCCAGCCGAAAAGTACGACCCCCTATGTGTTTCGCACAACGATGCTGTACCCTGATGGTGCGTGTATTGACTGATATTGACACTAACAGGCGCTTAGAGTGACATGAGCGCTGACTGTCAAAGGTCTCATTTTTTGTATTCTGGGTGCTAGACGGAATTCATAATCCAGCTCCGGAAGACGCTAGTATAATTATGAGCTGCGATGGAGGGTTGCCTAGGGGAAAGGAGGACTGGGGTGAGTGGGTGAACTTTTGTGGAAAATTGTTCAGTTTTCATGAGCAAGGGTTCACCTGACTCGAAAACATTCGCATTAACCTTTACTTTCCTAATTTTTTCGGATATTGGCAGCTAACAAGAAATTATTTCAGCATCTCCACAAAAGCTATTCAAGTTGAATAAATCCTTATTGCTAAAACTGCACCAATGCCAGTATAATTCGTTTTTTGACGATCTCTGCGCAGTCTTAACAGGATAAGTTCTAATTGCGATCAGCCGTTCTGCGTATCTTCCCTCAAACTAGTAACGCATTAGTTCATCATCGCAAGGTACTATATGGAGACGAGCAGGAGGATAATCGCAAATTGCCGCTTTGTCGCGCGCGGCAATGGGCGCGACGTTTCTTTTTTTGCATACCCTTTCGACTGGAGCATCGGATTTCATGTAGACAAGGACATGGTAGACACTTATGTCTATTTTTGGTCATACATTGTCTATTCTCGACCAATACCACCTAAAATCGTCGTCATTAGTGAGCGCGAAGGCCACTCGCGCGGCGAATTATGTACGCTTCTCTTGCCACATACCCGGTACCATATCGTTCGCATGAGTCACCAGTCGGGGTGGCCACCTCCCCGTAGTGAAACAGTGCCAGAAGTTCAGTAAGCAAACTGTGGCAAATTTAGATTGGATCGCTAGAGAATAACGACAAGAAGTGGAGAGACCGTTCAGCACACTCAGCAAGCACCAATCAAAAGAGCATCACAGCAATAATTCTGACATTGGATGCGAAATCCTTACAAAGAAGACATTGGCTAGAACGATGTTAGAGGCATTCCTCATCCGTGTGAGAAGTACATAGCTGGATAACCGCCATGTGTGCCGATAGTTAATTTTTACTTATACTTTTTTACTTCTCGCATTTTACTTTTGAACGCAGCCTGAGTAATCCCATGGACGAGATTTTAGCTAAACACTTTTTGAGATTTCAGAGTTGGAATCGGTGAACGCCGAAAAATCGTTCGGGAAGCCAACAAAGCCCGATTTGGGAACAATAAAACAATGCGGATATTTTCGGATAATGGAAATGAACTGTGATCGTCATTCAATGAGAACAGGGCAATAGAAGTGCAAATATCGAACGTGGCTCGTTCAGGAGAACCAAAGCCAATTGTGGTGTGTGATCGCTAATACAAAGGAAAGCAGAGCAGGAGAGAGAAAAGCAGTGGCTTCTTTGCCTTCACAGTTCCACAGTTCATTTATGAAAATGTTTTTCAAGGACTCGTCCATTACAGTATTCAAAAATTCACGCGGGGTACGTGACAACTAGAACCTTTCCTGGTAGACCTGGGGCGGAAGGCCTAGAGCGAACAGAGGAACTGAGAATGGCTGCTGCCACGGAATTAAAAGGTGCAAAAAACAGCATATCATCGTCCAGGGCGTAGGTTTTCTCAAGGGGAAGGATACTGCAGGATCGATGAGTGTCTCATCAAGCGTAAAACTATGAATGCGTGAGGTCACTGGGGTCAAAAAATACCACGAAGAAGTGAGAGGGCAGAGAAAAACAGGAAAGTTGCCGCGATTAAAGGAACGCTCAAGTGGTCCTAAGAAATTCCACGCCGCAGTAGTCTGGTCATTTTGCAATCGAACAAATCGAAATACATTTACTAACTGTAAGACTGAGGTTCGAAATACGCTACTCTGATCTGTGATGGGTGGACACGGCGATCTAACATAAGGAAAAAAACTTGTTTTCTATAAGATTACAGCTTCCTCAAACAAGCAAGATAACCTGGGAATTATGAAGGACGTAGCCAAGAATGACTCCGGGTTGGGTGTACCATTTCTCACAAACGCGAGAGACATTTTCCCCATAAAGCATTTGGTTCACTCATGTCAGTGCTCTTTCCTTCCTAAAACTAGGCAAGTCGTCATTCCTGGCGCACAATCGATTTTTCGCCCATGATAACTGAATAATAAATCTAACAATAAAGTGTAGATATATTAACAGCTATAAAAACAGATTCCGTCATTCAGTACACGTATAAAAGCTCAGCCAAACTCTATGAGGCACCTCATCTTCGACCAGGACACACTTTCGAAATACCCGGCAATGCTTACGGTAAGTGCGGATCGGGACAAATTCAGCTCGCTTTATATCATCTGATAAACTTTCCAGCTCTGCATCCTGCTGTTGAGCCTTTGCGGCCTATGTAATGGATATTATGAGAATCCAGACACACGTATGTCTTACATTACTCATTGAAGCGTTAAAATGCTAAATGAGCAACATCATCAACAGCCTATCTATGTGCAGTCATGATGCCGAGCAAATGAGAGGGAGTGTAAGGGGGCGTGGATTGTGGCGCAGTCAGGATGACCATTCCGACCAATGATGCCATCCTGAGCCGGCAACAAATGGTGGGAAGGTTGGTGGCTACGCTACAACCTACGCCGCTCCACACCCACTCCGTCTGCAGGGAGCGTAAGGGGGCGTGGATTGTGGCGCAGTCAGGGTGACCATTCGCAGTCAGGGTGACCAGCACGACTATAGGAACTAATGTGGTTAATCCTGTGGACCAGATCGAACGAAGAGATAAAGCGAGGGGATGTTACTGGGGAAAATCCCCGTATAGAGGACCTAGCAACCGCAGTAGGATCTCCGTATAGTAACAATTTCAGGTGAAAATATATCTTTATACGATTACTACATATGCAACCCTCGGTTCTTACAGAGTCCTGTGGCGATAACCGCGGCCCACTCATGGACGACAACACTCGCTATAAGATCTTATATTATCACGAAGGAACTCGAAATGTACTTGCTCTAGGAGAGTCGCCAGGTTATCAAACTGGCTTCCTTCCTCCAGCGAAGAATTTGTTCAAAATAGTAAGTTTGATGTTAACCTCAATAAGAAATTTGCTCAATGTTGATTAGAAGTCTATGGTACGACATATCTTCTAAGAGAAGTAAAACGGTTCAAGATAACGGAAAGAGTACATGTCCTCGTTCACCGAAAACTTGCTCGTGACGCTGTTTAGGGCGAAGCAACGTATATTTAGAATTCTTAGATGGCTAGGTAGGAGTACGGCTCCGTACTAGAGCTGACTGTCTTCGTCTGAGTTTTTCGTGAGATGTTTTCATTTTTGAGCCGTTGTGATCATGTCCAAGTCTCAAAATATCTTCACGAGCGACCCATCATCCTATGCCATGTTCAAATGTTACGCCTACTCCGTCTCAATGATAAGGAGCACAATTCACCACAGATCTACCTGGAATCCTTCTCGGTCAAGCGCATTCTAACTGCAGGCACTTTCTCAGCATCTACCGGACCGGTTGTTTGGCAGCCGGGGGGTAAATTTGTCCGAACGAGGTCCGTTTAGAGACAATTCCCGCGATCTAGTGATCAGCGAAATGCCTCCGGTAGTCAGCGTATGTGGTGGGACGGTATGTAATCATTGACAATTCTTTAGAAAAAACCACATTTCCTGATTCAAAAGGTCTGTGACACAGCATTATTGATCATGAATTAGGTCTGATCTCCCTAACATGAACAGCAATAGCGAGACGACTAAACTTCCGATGAAATCGCTAGTTTACGCTATTGCTGGTCGATTACTCTTCTACCTTGTAGAGATGGAACTGCACCCTCGAAGCAAGGGCGAGAAAACTGACGAAGAACTGTGCTCATTCCGAAGACCAGTTGGTGAAATACGGAAAAAACGTGTACTAGTAAGTGGAGTTACCTGACTTTTTTTGCAGTGGTTACAAACTCCACCATGCGCTTTGGCTGTTTTCAGTGGCCCTGTACCAGAAGTGACTAGCACCAAGCCAATCGATCTTAGAAAGCGAAAGTATGACTTCATAAGTAAATCAATCGACGAGTGGCTTCTGCCAACGGAGAATTATCCCATAGAGGGTGATGTTCATTACAAGGATAGTTTGTACGGCCCCAGCAAACTGTACACTTTCGCCAATGTAAGTGCATTTAGTGCCGTTATTTCTGTCTACTTGGTCAGAAACAATTGATTTTCAGCTGGCCTATGATAAGATTTACGAAGTCGGTTGCAATTATGAAGAATGTGGCACTGGAAGTAACATTCACGCTTCGCTTATTTGTGTCTACAATAAAAAGTAAGAAACATATGCATAGTTTCCGAGGGAAGTTGTCTATTGTTCGCACATTCCCTTTCAGGGTTCCTGACTACGCAAAGCTGTACCAAGTGGGAGACAAGGACCCAGATCATGCGGGCTGCAACAAGGATAACACCGTCTGTCAACATCTTGGTAAACCAGATGCCACATGCGATGACCTTCTCTGCAAACTACCCAACGTGGTTTCAAGCTTCCTCTAATTCCTCGTCTTCTTTATCGAAACTTAGAAATAAATTTTCTCAATACCTTCTACATAAATGGTGTAAAACAGAGGGATCAGCAAAACAACAGGAGTGTTTTGTATGTGCAGCATATGCAACCAAAGGTGAACAGTAAATTATTCAATACACAGAGCAGTAGACTTCCACAAAATCAGCTCGATATCACATCAGATATTGTGTCATAAAAGGAATAAATCGAAAGCCACGTTCGTATCGTTTATCCGCCATCGATCAATCTCTCTTTTTTGAGCCATGTCACTCTACTCCCATTTAGAATGGTACTGCATTGATAGCAATGTGACCTATGCAATGACTTGCGCTTGACCAGCCGATGTAAAAGTTAGTGTTCTTAACCTTCTAGACATCAAGCTACCTACCGCGTATCTGAAGCTGAGTTCTTAACCTTCTAGACAACAAGCTACCACCGCATCTGAAGCTGGCTACTACCCACTTTCGATTCGGGCACGGTAATGTTACAAACTATGCGACGATCGACGCCAACTAAAAAATGAGATGGATTACTTCGATCCATTCTGGGCGCCGTAATTTCAGGGTAATGTGAATGAGAATCTGCACGCAAAATCATTGCTACCCAGGCACAGAACAGGACCGCTGTACGAGGCATAATGCATGAAAAGTGAAAGTAGTTTTACATCTCATCAGATTTGTTGAGCTGGAATAACTTCTTTCTAATGCCAAACAGCGTTGTATGGTGGACATGCTTTGTATTACGCACTGACCGTATTAGATACGCAAACTTTGGAAACTATCTATCCTATTCAACATGGGCCCGCTCTTAACTAGTTGCAAATCAGACCAAGGAACTAAAGGAACGAAGGAAACTCCAGCAATAAGTTACCTCGTCACTCCACCAGCGCCGAACTGCTCTACTTCCGTCACACAATGGAGCAAATGAGACTCACTGCTATGCACTTCATAGTGTGATAAAGTGCGTACGTGCAGTGCATTACGATCTCACTGTTAAAGCCCGCAAAGTGGGATGTAGGGCAAGAAATCGGCAGTCACTGAGATGCATTCATTCCTGTTGTTCATAGATGGATTACGGTGCTTTATCCAGAAAGCCTCGAGAGTTTTCCTAGCACCAACATCATTTTCGCGAGCCAGTATCGTACACTTGATATCGAAATCACAGCCGCCATGAATTTCATGACCACTTCACAATTTCATGACCCTACATTAAAGTGAAAATGGTATATATAGAGCTGAGCCCATGCGGTTTTAGCTTTTTAATTAGAGGTATAAAAGAGAGGCTGTCGAAAATGCTAATTTCGTCGACCCGACACTCCAGTTTGAGCACTTAAATTAGTGGAAAGAGAAGCTTGAAGAAAATTAAGAAGACTATCATGTGGATCAAAGAATCCTCTACAAAACAGTATAAAACTTCATGCCAAAACTTTCCTTCAGATATTTCGAGTGGGAAAAGGAACCCCATTATTTATGGGCCAACCCAATAGCTGACGACAGTGCTGCTTAGTTGACCGGTGACAACATCAGGCCACAGTTGCTCCTCAGCAGTCTTCATAACGCACGTGTGCTCAGGGCACAGCATTCGATGGGGATTTTGGTCGAGCTTTTACGACCCCCCCTTTTTTTCAGGGGCTGGTACGACCCCCCCCCTCCAAAACGTCCGCAAAGCGAGAAAAATCAACTATAAAAATAAATTTTTCCCAGCCCAAATACGACCCCCCTTTTGGCGGCCAAATACGACCCCCCCATAGGGAATCCCCAACCAATGCTGTGCCCTGATAACGCACGTGTGCTACTGAGATGTGCCTAACTTGTCCTTACGGGAGGGCTGTGAATTGCGCAAGTTGAGTGCTCGTATATGTATGTATCAACGTCTGTGTTGTTCAGTAAGGAATCATTGGCAGGCTGGAGACAGAGAGCCTTGAGCAACTGGCCTGAAGATGTGTTTGCACTTATATTACATGTAGACAGGTCCTTGAACCTTCCAGATTTTCGACAACAACTATATCGCTGATGCGTCGTACATTTGACTGTTCCAGCTCAACAAATCTGATGAGATGTAAAAACTACTTTCACTTTTCATGCATTATGCCTCGTACAGCGGTCCTGTTCTGTGCCTGGGTAGCAATGATTTTGCGTGCAGATTCTCATTCACATTACCCTGAAATTACGGCGCCCAGAATGGATCGAAGTCATCCATCTCATTTTTTAGTTGGCGTCGATCATCGCGTAGTTTTTGTAACACGAAAGTAGGTGGTAGCCAGCTTCAGATACGCAGATAGCTTGTTGTCTAGAAGGTTAAGAACACTAACTTGTACATCGGCTGGTCAAGCGCAAGTCATTGTATAATTCACATTGCTATCAGTGCAGTACTGTGCTCAAGAAGCACCGATGCTGATTGGAAGGACGCACAATTAGGCGCAGCGGGGGGGTCCCGCAACGAAGCGCGGGGCGCGAAGACTCTACGACAATTTGAAATATATTTCGCAATTGTCCGCGGCACCCTATTCTCAGTATGGATTCATCCCTCGTAGGAGACGGCGGTCCCAGTTTCTACTTCTGAATTGTATCCATCCTGTTATCTGCTCACGTTTCGTCCAACTTGAAGATCCTTATCTTCTCATATACTCATTCGCTCGTACCTCATGCAATTTGAAGAAACTAGTTATGATGTTCATGACCTATCAGATAAGGTAATGTCAGATGTTGTAGTTCCATTTTGATGATTTAGTTCTACTTGCTCTACGTCAAAAAATATGATTGCTTTTTCTCG